TTTAGGTGGTTGTCAGGATGTTGCTACTGAATGCAATTACTAGGATATTTTGGATGGTTGTCAGGATGTTGCTATGCAGTTACTAGGATGTTTGGATGGTTTCCAGGAAGCTGCTATGAGGTTGCTAGGATGTTTTGGGTTGTTGCTTGCAAGGATGTTGCTATACGGTAACTAGGGTGTTCTAGGTTGTTGCCAGGGTGTTATCTTTGTTTGCTATAGGGGTTTGCTAAAATATACGAGTAGTTCATAGTGCATTTCTAGTATGTTTTGAGTTATTTCCAGGGTGTATATGCATTTACTGTATAAGGATGTGTTGGATTGTTGCCATGGTGTTGCTATGTGGTTGCTTAGATGTTCTGAGTGGTTGTTAGCATGTTGCTATGAGGTTGCTTGGGCACTACAGATTGTTGCCGGGGTGTTTGTATGCAGTAACTAGGATACTTTGGATGGTTGTCATGGTGTTACTATGCAGTTGCTTAGGTGTTTTGTGTGGTTGTTAGCATGTTTCTGTGTGGCTGTCAGGGTGTTGCTATGCAGTTACTCGGCTGTTTTGGATGGTTGTCAGTGTGTTGCTATGCAGTTACTAAGATGTTTTGGATGGTTGCCAGGAAGTTGTTATGTAGTTACTAGGATGTTTTGTGGTGTTGCTTGCCAGAGGGTTGCTATACGATAACTAGGATGTTCTGGGTTGTTGCCAGGGTGTTATCTTTGTTTTTTAGGGGGTTGCTAAAACGTACTGAGTAGTTTATATTGCATTTCTATGGTTTGGGTTGTTTCCAGGGTGTTTCTATGTGGTTGCCAGGGTGTTGCTAAGCAGTTACTAGGGTACTTTGGATGGTTGTCATGGTGTTACTATGCAGTTGCTTAGGTGTTCTGTGTGGTTGTTAGCATGTTTCTATATGGCTGTCAGGGTGTTGCTATGCAGTTACTCGGCTGTTTTGGATAGTTGTCAGGGTGTTGCTATGCAGTTACTAAGATGTTTTGGATGGTTGCCAGGAAGTTGCTATATAGTTGCTAGGATGTTTTGTGGTGTTGCTTGCCAGAGGGTTGCTATATGATAACTAGGATGTTCTGGGTTGTTGCCAGGGTGTTATCTTTGTTTGTTAGGGGGTTGCTAAAACATACTGAGTAGTTTATATTCCATTTCTATGGTTTGGGTTGTTTCCAGGGTGTTTCTATGTGGTTGCCATGGTGTTGCTAAGCAGTTACTAGGGTACTTTGGATGGTTGTCATGGAGTTACTATGCAGTTGCTTAGGTGTTCTGTGTGGTTGTTAGCATGTTTCTATATGGCTGTCAGGGTGTTGCTGTGCAGTTACTCGGCTGTTTTGGATGGTTGTCAGGGTGTTGCTATGCAGTTGCTTAGGTGTTCTGCGTGGTTGTTAGCATGTTTCTATGTGGCTGTCAGGGTGTTGCTATGCAGTTACTAAGATGTTTTGGATGGTTGCCAGGAAGTTGCTATATAGTTGCTAGGATGTTTTGTGATGTTGCTTGCCAGAGGGTTGCGATAACTGGGATGTTCTGGGTTGTTGCCAGGGTGTTATGTTTGTTTGTTATTGGGTTGCTAAAATGTACTGAGTAGCTTACATTGCATTTTTGTTTTGGATGGTTTCCAGGGTGTTTCTATGTGGTTGCCAGGGTGTTGCTAAGCAGTTACTCGGCTGTTTTGGAAAGTTACCAGAGTGTTGCTATGTGGTGGCTTAGTTGTTCTGAGTAGGTGTTAGCACGTTGCTATGTGGTTGCCAAAATACTCTGAAGTCCTACATTTTTCCTAGTGGTTGCAAAATGAGTTTTGAGTGTTTTTAGCACATTTAGCATGTGGCTTGAGTATTATGAGTAGTTGTGCATGGTTCATAGCATGCATGTTAGCACAATCTTTTAAGTTGCGTTACAAACGTACATTTTTGGTTTAGATTTATAAAGTCAACTGTACATACAGTGATTTTTTTTTTATTACTAACCTATATTCAACTGCAGATTCATGACGGGTGGTTTTACTCCAAAGAACGCATGTCTTTTTCTTTTCCAGTGCTTCTATTTCCACTCCGCTTTGGTTGCTCTCCAAACTTCCCCAGAGGGACTCGACTGCTGCCAAAATGCTGAGTGCTATTTCCACATCTCCATCCCACACCGCAAAGGGTCGTGGGAGACCCCGCTTTCCCCAGTCTGTCAGTTGATGTGGCCTGGCTCACAAACATCTCACTCGCCATTACACACATTTAGCTGCTACCTCCGGAGAGTGTATCTATTTAATATCAATCACACACATATCCGTGGCAAATGATCTGCGAATTTGATTCAAATTGCAGGTTTTTTAATGAGAATAAATATGGAATGCACTATGATTTTAACAAATCATATGTTTTCATATGTAACCCACAACACTCTTGCATATAGCAAACGTCTTGCCTAACAACACCCTAGCAACCACTTGGAACACCCTAGCAACTGCCAATCAATTACATGGAACATGCTTGTGACTACCCAGCATGGAAACATGTGATGGCGAGTTATCAAAGCATTACTTATACCTACTTCAGAAAATGAAATCTAGTTAATTAATTAACACTAAGTGCCAAATGCAAGTAAAAACCAGTGTTGGTGAGTATATGAAATGGTGTCAATCGCCATGTTGGCTGATAAAGTTTTTTATGAATTCCAGCAATGCAATGTTGTGTGAACATGAACGTGAACAAACATGAACGACGCTCGGGACAGTGAAGTTTAAGCCTTACCAATTTAAATATTCAAGAGCAAGAAGACGCAAAAGTGAACTCAATTCGTTACTCGCGCTCTTGTGTGGGAAGTTTAAACACCCGAATTGCACGCCCTGAATTGAACTTTCTTTTACGTCTTTTTGTGCTTGAAAATGCACGTATTGCAGAGTATCCTCCTAAACATAGTCAGTTTGTGAAGTTGAGAAAGAAAACGCATGTGTGTCAGTATATTAGATCCGTGTATAAGCTCTTAAAGTGACGACAGACTAATATCCCTGTGTCATTAATGTAATCAAACAACAAAAGACAAAGAAAAAATCACTCAGTGCTCTTGACTGAATAACTTTTGTAACTTGAATGAGGATAACTCTATGTTTAATTTATACAGTGAAGACTTTGCAGTGTTATTTTACATTTGATTGCTTTACATTTCTGTACCTGAAATGGTATCTGGCCATTGTGTGGCAGAAAGTTAGTTTAATGCCCTGTGTGTAAAGGCTCAAAGTGATCGTTATGGACACACACAGACACTGGACACTTTCCAGAAGTCAGTCCAATGCAAATAAAAGCTGTCGACAACATAATAAAGCCATAAAAGTATGGATAATTGGACATAAACATTTATGGTGTATGTCTAATTTACTTGTGCTCAAGAGTAAACAAACATTTTGACATGTCAAATTCATTTCTGAGCCTGATGTCCTTGTGAGTGATGAACCCTGAATATGTTTAAATATCAAATTGTGTAACTTTTTGAGCAAAACGTATGACAAAAAGAGATTTGAAATGCTAAGACAAGCAGCCATATTCTCATATCATATCAAAGCACAGCATTTGAGAACAGATGATACTTGCTTTGACTTTTTCCCCCCTCTAATTTAATGCATTCAGAAATATTTACCGTACGTGTGACTGAAGTGAACAAATCATTTTTGAAGTCACTGCACGAGTCTGGAGATTGTCGAAGAGTTTCTCTCGCGCCCTCTTGTGGACAAATAAAGGTAAAGTATTTATTTCTACAGCAGAGAGTCATTCTCAGCTTCAAAATAGAAATGTCTGTACTGCAGTCGCATTGCACAAGGATGCATAAGACGTATGTTTATTAGTTAACAGGTATGATAACATATCACAGGCCAAAGCACAAGCATGCAACCTAATGCTGCCCATAAGTTCACATGTTCAGCAAGATGCCTATACTTTTATTAAAATACAAATAGTAGTTGGTGAAGCTATATAAAACATGCATTTATGAAATTTTATGATTTTACCAATATTTGCCTCCCGTTGACCTCTAAAGCACAACGTAAAGATCCATAACATTGACCCAATATGCTAGATATACATAGCTGATATTCTTATTATGCAAAATGACACATATTCTACTTTTAAATTAATAGATTTCAACAATCATGCATTTACATTTCACGTTTGTGGCCATACATAAACTATCCTGCATTATTCAGAGTCCTTAATTAATTTCGAACAAAACAAAACAGGCAAAATCAAAATTATTGAACAGGATTTTAGCAGGCAGAAATAATAAATACAAAATAAAAAATCAATTTCAACAAACATTTGGCTATTTTGGTTACACACATATTTTAACAATTTGTAAAACCACTGAATCATTTTTTGAATGATGAGAAAACAGACTATAACTACTTATAATAAATTACTATTATTTATGATAAATTCAACTCTTCAACTCACTATAATTTGAAGATATAAATGTTCTGTACGTTTGCATAATTCAACGTTAAGTTAAAGAAACCAAATTATTTTGTTATTACTTACTATATTATTTTAACTTCTGCACATTCGAATATATATATATATATATATTGTTTTGTTTTATTGCATAACAGAACAATAACAACATACACATACACATACAGAGGATCACAATGTATTCAACTATTATCTATAACATTCATAATAATATCAAAGGAAATAGAAAAAACAACAATAAAAATCAAATAAAAAAATTAAACAGGGACAAAAAACAAAAAAACCCAAAAACGTACATTTGAATAACGACTGATAAATTCCCGCGTTTATGGTCACTCACACTTATTTTGCAATGACATCATTGCGTTCATCTAGACTCCACCCATTTTTATTTTACCCGCGTTCCTCATCCAACGGGATGATCCACAGCTGAATTATATGTGCGTCACGATGACTGACTTCCCAACGCACCAAACCCGCCAATCATTTAATCTCATTCAACAGCGTGAGCCAATCAGCGGCGAGGAGACAGTGCATTACGGGCCAATCGCGTCCCTCCATTCATACCGTCCGGTGTCAGAGGTCGCTTCCCCTGCCGGCTTTCATTCGCTCGTCTCTCTTTCTGAATCCAGCAGTGATGGCGGAGCAGCAGCAGTTCTACCTCTTACTGAGCAACCTGATGAGCCCTGACAACACCGTCAGGAAGCAATCAGAGGTAGGAGAGTCGTTTCGGGACCGCTTTGTGTGGATGTTTGAAGGGAAACGTAACGTATTCGTCTCGAGCTCGGCTCGCAGTTTTAGCGCGGGCCCCTCAGCCTCGCTCTGGCCCAGCACATGTGTGAAGCGCGCGCTGCTGCTATGCGGCTCCGAATCTTTTCAGAGAGTCGATTCGTTTCGTCGAGCCGACTTTGGAAACAAATCAATCTATTCATTTGAGTCATCATCACTCAAAATATTTCAGTGTTGCTTTTTATTTTATGGGTATATAACATATTAATATTTCGATCGACTTAAATCTTTCTTTTTTTTTTTAAATTAAACTAGTTTTATTTAATCATAGTATTTGTGCCTGGGATCAAATAATTGCATAATTTAAGTTGGTCATTAAATTTCATGTGAGATTTTGACTGGAACGTTAAAAATCATCCAATTGCTAGTTTTTCATATTGATGCTTAAATTTATTAAGATATAAGACTGTTTCTACTTCTGTTTCACTCCACTCGAGTGATTTACAAAGGCTAAATAAGGAATGACGTATAATATATTAATCGTACTATTTGTCATCTAAATAGACGTAAGTTAATGCAAGAAGTATGATATTCCGAAATCAACCAAACCTTTGGCGGATCGGTTCGATCGAATCATTCAAAGGAATCGGTTCAAATGGACGATTTGTCTGTGAATCGGGACAGCACGGCAGTGTGTTGCGTATCAACGTGGCCTAACTAGCATTCAAACATTACAAACATTGATTTATACGATTTTGTGTCCCGTCTCGGTTTTAAAAACGCCTTATTGTCGAATTCCCCCCCTCCATACCTAATCTTTCAACGTCCGCTTGACTGCTTTTGCGGTGTTATTCGAGCGGCTGGTGTGGCGCTGCTAACCCGGCGCAGGTGTCGCTCAGATCGGCTTGAGTTGCTCAAACGGGACGTTAAATCGGTGTGTCAGTTCTGTGAGGGTTTTAGAGCTAAACGAGTCACATTTGCGTCTAAATTTTGAAATCTGTCAGTCAGAGTAATGAACACTAAGAGACCACCGAAACAAAACCTGCTCAGTCTTTGTAATTTGCATAATTTCTACTCGTTTATCTCTAACGTTACCCGATAATCAAACAACATTTCCCAGTAGAATAATGAATATTTAAAAACTGTTAATCGTCGCTATTGTGGCGAGTCTTGTATTTCACTCATTAAACAGTAACTTTACACTCATCTTCACGCGACGAGGTGAGCTTATCACAAAAGATGCTACTATCATGTCATGGAAACATCTTGGATTTGGGTCATGGATAAGTATTCAACCGTTTCGATGTAACGGTTTTCGTTATTTAAAATGCGCACTTCTAACGACTTTTGAAACATGGAATCTCACCAGCGTTCCAGATTTCTCGGCAAATTCGAATTTTCCCACCAAAACTCGGGCCTCATTGGCACGTGTTCCACTGGTCTTTTGTTAGGAGCTTCTTTATCTGTGCTAAAGCCCCAGCGTGTGGAGTTCAAACCGAGCTCATGTGGATCAGGACGGGTCATTGGGTCTTATCTCTGCCATCGGTCAGCACTTTCCCTTTAGCACAGACAATACATGACCAGCATGCCTCTAATGCTGAGCGGAAACTGACTCAGACTCAGTGCATGACACGGCCTGACTGGCCCACTCTTGTGTGTCTGCCATGAGATTGTTAATTGCAAACATTTCCACAATGTAATCTTTAGTGTAAGCAGCAGGTATAACGGTGTGTGATTTCCTTTTGATTACATCTGTGTGCAAATTCCCATTGCACTGTTAATTCCAGCATAACCACGTCTATTTGTCACTTGTAAACTGATGCCAAGAATCTGTTTGACTCATGCCAAATGAATAACTGACACAAGAACCAAGTTACTGTCTGTGTTTTTAAAGCTGTGACCCTTTCTCAGTGAACTAAACCTTTGTAAATGAAGTCATTTATATAATGCTCTGCAGCCCTCCAGTAACGGTTCCTCTTTGCTCTTGTAGGAAGCGTACGACACCATCCCCGGTCAGACGAAGATCACATTTTTACTGCAGGCCATCCGTGATGCATCCGCTGCTGAGGAGGTACGTGAGAGTGTGTTTGCTGTCATCAAGCTGTGATAGTTTTTCCAGGCATCCAATTAAGACTATGCAGAGTCTTTAAAGAGGCAGAAAGTGCTTTGTTTACACCGTCCATTATTCCTCATACCGGCTCTCTCAGGGTCAGACGGTGTGCCATTGTCTTGTAGTCAGAGATGTAAGTAGTTGTGCTGACTGTAAGTGGGTGAGGTTAAATGGAGACTCTGGTGTAAACAAGGTCTAGTCTGAACAACACCAGTGTAGAACTCAATTCCTGGAACGACTGATTGCTCAAGATGAGACTAACCTGCACCGGTCCGAAGCTTGCGTTATAGTTGAGGCCTTACAAGAGCAGATATGCGTTCACAGCACACCTTACCCTGTATAAACCTCTTTTAAACCCAGCATTTTTTCACAATCTGTGGTTGAGTTGTAGTGCTGCATGATTAATCGTTTAAATTAAAGGCTGAGATTTAACTTGGTGTTTTTCAGTGTGAAAATGCATTACTAAAGATATTAAGACTGGCATAAATATTAGTATTGTAACTTTAGTTAAATTGTAAATTGATTGTTTTTTTTAAATGCTATATTTTTTTCTTAGTGAAATATTAGTGTTTTCCAGTTGGTAATTTTAGTGCTTAAACTTATTTCAGTTAATTGCCAAAGCAACCTTTTTCACTGGTTTAGTTTGTTTTTCATCTAATTTTGATAGTTTTTTTTTTTTTTTTTTTTTTTACAAAATCACAACTATTTTCCCTAAATCATGCAGCCCTAAGTAGTGGTTTCAGAAGTGTACACTAGTGCTGAATCATCATTTATAGACAATGAATTACACATTTTATGTGAATGTTTAACCAAGTAAGTACATACAGTGAGACACGGAACAGGACGGATAACCCTGAGTTAAAGCAATATTTGAGTTGTGACATTTCAATTGTGTAAAGCCCACAGATAAACATCTTTAGCTATTTTTAACCACCCAAATGTCTCATGCTCCTTCTCAAAAGACCCCATCTCGGCCGTTTCTCATCTAATGTGTTTTTTAATTGTCCTCTTCACCTCCTGACCTCCGATATTAATAGGTCTGTGAAACTAGAGTGCATCGGTCGACTTGCAAAAGTCCTCGTGTTCTGTGTTTTAAGTAGGTAACTTAAGCGTTTATTGTGATTTCTTGATCTAAGTTGGTATCTTAAGCGTTTATTGTGATGACTACTATGGCCACTTTAAAGGGATACTCCACTTTTTTTTGGAAATAGGCTTGTTTTACAACTCCCCCAGAGTTAAACTGTTGAGTTTTACCATTTTTGAATCCATTCAGCCGATCTCCGGTTCTGGCGGTACCACTTTTAGCATAGCTTAGCATACATCATTGAAGTGGACAAGACCATTAGCATTTCTCAAAAAAAATGACCAAAGAGTTTCGATATTTTTCCTATTTAAAACTTGACTCTTCTGTAGTTACATCGTGCACAAGTCCGACGGAAAATGTAAAGTTGCGATTTTCTAGGCTGATAAAGGCGCTGCGTCATATCATTACGCCTGCTGCACTCATGGTACGGCAGTGAAGTTTCTTGATTATTACGCAGGAATGAGAGTATAGTTCCTAGCCATATCAGCCTAGAAAATCGCAACTTTACATTTTCCGTCGTTTTTAGTGCACGATGTAACTACAGAAGAGTCAAGTTTTAAATAGAAAAAATCAACTCTTTGGTCTTTCTTTTTTTTTTTTTTTTTTTTTGAAATGCTAATGGTCTTGTCCACTTCAATGATGTATGCTAAGCTATGCTAAAAGTGGTACCGCCAGAACCGGAGATCGGCTGAATGGATTCAAAAACGCTAAAACTCAACAGCTTAACTCTGGGGGAGTTGTAAAATGACCCTATTTCCAAAAAAAGTGGAGTATCCCTTTAAACCATTTTGATCCTGAATGCTAATTGGCCAATTGTGTTCCCATAATGCTATTTCAGCACAGTCATGTACCATTATTGCACAGTTTTTACATCAAAATGCTCTTTAGAGGCTCCCTATAGACTGAATCTCCACCCGGATGGGAAACTGGCTTTATTTGCACAGCATGTCGCTCCCAGTGCAGATTGATGAGTTACAGAAACGGTCTAAAGCTGTGACTGCGTCTCCACAGGTTAAACAGATGGCAGCTGTTCTGCTGCGGCGTCTGCTGTCCTCGTCTTTCGAGGAGGTCTATCCCAGTCTGACCATCGACATGCAGACGGCCATCAAGACTGAGCTGCTCACTGGGATCCAGTCCGACGGTTGCTCCAACATCCGCAAGAAGGTCTGCGACATCGCCGCGGAGCTCTCCCGAAATCTCATCGGTCAGTTTGCTTTTGGTTGACCCGTAGCTTGGTTTCGCTACACCGAGTGTTGTAGAGGTTGACATTTTTTCGGGAATCCCTCATGATGGGAACAAAATCACTATTAATCACGTGATTGGGACGGGACTGGAAAAAATGCCAGCGGGACTGGGAATCGTAATAACACTGATACCCAACTCTATACACAAATATACTAGGGTGACCATATTTTGATAACCAAAAACCAGGACACTCGGCCCGGCAAACTGATACTCAAATGATACTCGAAGTTTACTCAAAGATGCCTTATTTCAATACATTTAAAGTAGGCTAGTATGGATAGAAAATTGTTTTATTACAAGACACAAATTCAGGCTTATCAGAGGTTACTCAACATGTTTTATTATGACCGGTTTCAAAAATAATAAATCGAAATAATGTCTCTTCTGTATTAGAAAAATAAATATATAAATAATAAATAACTAAAAGAAATACCTCCAAATTGAACAAAAATAGCTCTTACAAAAACGAACTAACAAAATATATTTATCTTTAGTTTTCTTCCTCATCCTCCTTGTTTGCCCATCTATATTTAGCTGTAGAGCTGATCTTTCACAGCAGTTTTTCGAAAACCAGGACATTTTTATCACTTTATAAAAAAACAGCCAGGACAGGACATGTCCTGGGAAAATGAGACTGTTGGTCACCCTAAAATATACCATTTATATAAATACTATAAACTCTATTCTAGTTGCCCTGTCTCTTTATGCTCTCCTGTTGGCTTTAGTGTGGCTGGTTAAGTGAATGACGTGCTCCACCCGTAACAGTTGGTGACGGTAATGTACCAAATTGCCAATGCCAACCACCAATAATATAAGAGAAGGCTTCCCAATGCACTTTGACTCCATTTTTATTGATTTTTGCGGCTACAGACATGAAAGCCACGCTGCATCAACTACTGTTGGAAAATTACATCTCAGTTGTGCTCAGATATTTCTGGGCGGGATGAAGTAACCAACATTTTTACGAGTTGAGAGACGGCGTTGTGTGTGTGTGTATTTGCATGGATGATTTACATTTAATTTAATGTGTGCATGGTTTCAGCTGGCATTCAATAAAATAACAAACATTTTGGATTTTTATTCAACTAAGGTGGGCATGCTGTGATCTCTATTTTTTACGGACAGATTTCAGCCAAAAAAAACACATGGAAGCGGGAGGGAATGGGAGTCATTCTTCTGGGATTGGGATGGGATTTTCCCCTAGTTTTTTTTTTTTTGTGGGATTGGAAGGGATTTTTTTTATTTGTGGGAGTGGGACAGGAGAGTTTTGAAAATCCACTCCCGTGTCACCTAGGGTTGTCAATCTTCCTCTATAATACTATTCGAGTTCCATTCCTTATTTTATTTAATATTTGAATATTAAATGCTCATTCATCCCATTATTAATATTTACGACATTACTCAGGCTTATGGATCGCCAATGCCACTATAGCATGTGGTTGTTGTGACACGTTCTGTCCACTAGAGGGACATCTTTTTATGTCGTTTTTTTTTATGTCAAACATTTTATTCGTGCTGAATATGGTTGAAGTGCTTCCGATGGTTTTCGGCTAATATCTCTGCGAAAACTCCACCGAAAATTCTGAAACTTATATCGTTCTTTTCATTTCGACTAGACGGTTCCAACGTGCTCGCCGAATCCGTTGAGTTTTCGCCAAAATATTTGTGCTTTGGGGGGTGTGCTTTTTTATGTCGTTTAACATTTACCATTTTTGACTATTGTTATGATCAACGTGGATAATGTGCACAATTGTGTTATGATTCCAAATCTTTATTGTTCATCAGACGAAACAAAAGCATTTCATTTTCACATGCATTTAAGGCAACGTGGTGAGAGGCAAGATTGCATAAAAAAAAGAAGCAATAGTCGAACAGTAACTTCAGCATTCGAATAGCATTGATTTTTAATTTTCGGAATTCGTTCCAACAGCCCTAGTGTCACCCTCTAGTGTAGAGGCGATCTAATACCTTCTGTTTTATCTCAAGATGATGACGGCAACAACCAGTGGCCAGAGATCCTCAAGTTCCTGTTCGATTCGGTCAACTCTCAGGACGTCGGCCTCAGAGAAGCAGCGCTGCATATCTTCTGGTGCGTGAATTTTTACTCTAATCAACTATAGCAACTAATCTGACTCAAAAGTACGGTTGCATTTCTCTTTCTGAATCATTTGTTTCCTCCTCGTACAGGAACTTCCCAGGTATCTTTGGCAATCAGCAGCAGCATTACATGGAAGTGATCAAGCGCATGTTGGTTCAGTGTATGCAGGATCAGGAAAACCCACAGGTCAGTGTCTCGTTCAGTATCTGCCTTTTTTACACGTTTGTTCTCGATAAGTGACTAATTCAGGATTCCCACTGGCGCTTGCATTCAGTTTGATCAAATTTAAGGTCATACAAATGACCTTAAAATGTGATTTAAGGTCATAAAGTCTTACATTTTAGAACAAGTCTGTGATCATTAAACTTCAAAAGCTGATGATTGAATTAAACATTGAGCGCTGCACATTCAAAGTCAAAACTGTTGCACGTTCTATAGGCTTGCGATTGCTTATGATCTAGATAAATATGATCTAGTTTATTTCTAGATAAATGAACTTTTACTTTATGGTGTTTATTTTGTAATGTTTTAGATGACTGTAAGAGTGGATAATGTTTCTCCCTCATCTTTTTAAATGAGCAACCAGCAATAGTAAAGCATAGACATTTCAAAATAAGAGTCCCTGTGTTTTAGGCTTGTTTATAATTAAAGACCAGCGTTATACATCAAATGTTTTTTTTGTTACCTGATAAATTCAGCACACTCTTGTGGCTTCGCACAATCATTCCAATAATATACATGTGCAACTTTCAGTATGTATATATTGAGTAAAACATGGTTAAACTTGCAGGTTCCCTAATTTGCAGTTTAATGTGTGCAAAATAATCTGAAAACATGATTTATTTTGAGTTTTTTGGTTTGGTTCTGAATATATTAATTTTGCGCAAGTCTTAAATTTGATTTTTAAAAGCCCTGTAATCTTAAACTTTGTTCTTTCAGATTCGAACCCTGGCTGCACGTGCCGCTGCGTCCTTCATCCTGTCCAATGAGGGAAACACAGCTTTGTTGAAACACTTTTCAGACCTTCTTCCCGGGATCCTACAGGTGACGAGCTCTTAACTACTCGGACTTCAGCACTTCAAATACTGCAGAATATGGGCTGCGTCACATTTGATCTTTGATTGCTTGGTAGTTCCTGCGTTGTGCTTTTGAATGCGTCGTTTTGCCAAGTTTAAACTAGAGGGCAAAATATGAACACTTGTCTAGCCACCATTGCTTAATTTAATGCACCCTTTTATTGAGCTTTATTGGCCCTGTCCCAAATGGCACACCATGCGGACTTTCGGTCTCGTGGACTTAAATTGCGCGTGCTCGCCGAGTCTACGAGTCCGTAGGCCGTCCCATTTAGCATTTTAACGCTCTGAAGTGTGCTCAGCAGCGCCCCCTTTGCCTCCTTCTGCGAAGCCCGCATAGATGCAGGCTCCACACACTTTAACTACCCAGGAATCCTTGCGAAAGGCCAATCAGACAACGGATGGGAGATTTCGCTCACGGACAATTGTTAACATGGCTGAGAAGAAAATATTTAAGTGTAATTATTACGGTTTTTATGACAAGTTTACAAACATTATGATCATCGACCAGTGGTTGATGTCTCAAACATGCCGTAAAACTTCAAATAGTAGCCCGGGCTTTTATTTTCCCAAATCGTCGAACTGCACCGGCTTGTATTTGAGACAGGCGTCTATATGAGACATGCCTTTATAATTTAGTGTTGAGATATTGTTCATTGAGATGTTATTCCTAGAGTGTCTAATCTCTAAAAATCTCCAAATGCTCCACGTGAAACTGCGGTCTTCCGACCTTTTACTATTGTGTCAATTGATTTTGATTAATATGCGCGAGGGAGAGAGAGCAAGACAGCGCTCGTTTTGTTTGAAGACGTGGGTGCGCGCGCGGCCGGGGCGCTCTCTCTCTCTCTCTGCTCGTTTGCGCCCTGTCAAGCGCAGCAGTCTTTCTATTCTACATCACTCACCGATCAAAAAAGGCTTTGGCGGGACACAAATTTGCTTTGGCGGCCGCCAAAAAGCGGATGATCCGACGGGTTTTAGAAGATTAAATACAACCCGAAACTAAAAAACAGACCCGGCCTCTATTTGAGACCGGCCTTTATTTACCCAAATCTGTCGCCACACCAGGCATGTAAAAGAGGCAGGCGTCTATTTGGGACTCGGCTATTATTTGAAGTTTTACGGTAGGCTAATAATAGCGAGCTGAATAATACGATCGCATTATGATTCATTAAATAAATATGACTCAGTAAAGCCCTGACATTCTGTACTATGTAAACACAGCAATAGGCCGCATATTTCCCTGAACCTGTAGCTCCTGTCCATAAACACAATCAGACTGTCTTCCTGTTTCTGGCGTGACGATCGAGTCTTGTCCCAAAAATACCTCTCAATGCGGACTCGCGCTAAGGGCCCTATAGGTCTGCACTACATGACGTCACCGAAGTGTGGACTCTGAGGAAGTCCACAAGTCCGGAGTGTCCCATTTGGGACAGGGCCATTGTTTGCGTTGATGCTTTCCATTAAATCAGAGCAAAAAAACAAGGACTGATGTGTGAAAAGATGCTCAGGACATTTGATGGAGTTCATCATTCTCACATGGTTAGGACTTGCCAGTTTAAACATTGAAGTTATTTTTAAACCATTCAAGCGCAAGACATGAATTTAAAACACCTGAATTGAGTTTTTCTGTATCATCTGACAATTGTCAGAATGCAATTTTGGTAAGTATGCTTGTAAACGCTGTCTTTAGTGAATGTAAACCGATGGGAGAAAATCAGATGTGTATCAATATATTGGATCCGTGCATTAGGTCTGAAGTGTCGTAACAATCTTATTTATTAGAGTACAAGATTATATGGTAATATATTTTGTTTATTAAATAGTGGGGCTGATAATTTTTGCAGGGCAAGTTATCTAAACAACTAGAAAAAATCCCTAGTGTTGATAAAGTGCACTAAATGAGTCTTTCTTTCCCTAATCAGGCGGTGAATGAATCCTGTTATGCTGGTGACGACTCCGTGCTGAAGTCATTGGTGGAAATTGCAGACACGGCCCCCAAATACTTGAGACCAAACCTGGAAGCCACTCTCCAACTGAGCCTAAAGGTAAACGCTTATATTTTATCTTGACCAGTAGGAATTATTTTATGAATGCATCAACTGTGTATATATCTATATCCTAATGTGCCTGGTGGTTCCTTGAGACGGCTTGTCTGTGCTGATTCTTGAGGTTTTATTTGACAGGCACATATTTATCTCTGCGATTTAATGCTTGGAAGTTGCCAGTTTCATGCATCTTCCATAGCCCGGTTGCAGAAACAAGTTTTCATTCGCTTAAGGGATAAAACCTTGCAAATATTCACTCAAAACAGTCTCAATGCCTTGATGTAGATCAGTGGTTCTCAAACTTATTTGATCGCGCACCCCTTTAAACCTTTATAAAAAAAAAAAAAATATATATATATATATATATATATATATATATATAATGGAAAGATATTTTTAATTGAAAAACAGGAATAGTTTCACTGTCATGTCATTGAATCGTATAACAGTAAGACGTACCCTTTTTTTTTTTGGGGGCGCCCCACACTTTGAGAACCACTGATGTAGATGATTGTAAGAAATGTTGATTTGTCTTCTCTTGAACAGCTGTGTGCGGACACCAACCTCACGAACATGCAGCGGCAGCTGGCTCTGGAAGTCATTGTCACACTCTCTGAAACTGCTGCTGCAATGCTGAGAAAACACACCAACATCGTTGCTCAGAGCGGTGAGATGTTTAACACCTCCTATGTTACAGTGCTAAATGCCTTCGTCGAAGCTACTGAAACTTGCCAAGCGACAGTCTGTGTGCTGTTCCATGCAAATTAACTTGTAGCATTTTCACTTCCTTGCACTGAACACACAAGTACTTATTTTGCTAACTTATGTTAGTAGTTTGATTAGTTTTAACAATGAATGAGAATTTTTCGCAAGTCTGGCTAAACTCGTGTATTGCATTTGTAGTAATTGTGCATGTTTCAGTGCTTTTTGTTAACGGGTCAGTTACCCAAAAATGAAGAAATTGTCATCAATTACTCGCATAAGGGTGAGTAAATGACAAATATAGAATTTTAAATTACTGTAAATGGTTATGGTAAATAAAATGTTGTTTATTGGTAATGGTTATAAAATGTATAAATATATTGGTTTGATTCACAACTACTGTAGTATTAATAATTTAAGTAAAAATGTAAATTATAACAATTACATATAGTAGTTTTGTTACTGCTATTAATGGTTATAAAAATGTGTAAATGTTGTTTTACAACTATAGTATTTAACGATTGTAGTAGTAAAAATATAAATCAAAGGTGTACTACATTTGTAAATCAAATCAATATAATTAATAATGGTAGCAATTTAATGATTAGTTGTAAAAAATATCAATTTAATTTTATTTATAGTAAAAATATCAATTTACTTATTGATTATAGTAAAAAAAAGTCCAGTTTTAATTATTACAACTTACAATTACTAATGATTACTGTTACTATTAATGCTTAAAATATAGTAGAAAAAATACTGCATTTCAAAAACTGTTGCGACTAGCACGTCGTCTGCTGTGACGTTCAACTGTTGCTTGTGAATGTTTCAGTACCTCAGATGTTGAGTATGATGGTGGATCTGGAGGAGGATGAGGATTGGGCCATGGCTGATGAACTAGAAGATGATGATTTTGATAGGTGAGAATGTTTTCATCATAAGAGACAGTCAGTTTTTTATATTTAACACTGTACACCACAGTTGACCACTGGTAAAAATTAGCATAATAGTAATTTCCCATTACTTGTGAAGCTTGCTAGGATTTGATCTATGAGTGTGGCGTTATTGCTTTGAAATGCGTGTCAATGCTTATTTGTTAGTGATTCAATGTCTTTATAAATCAAATTTTCTGGTGTTCAGTAATGCCGTGGCGGGTGAGAGCGCTTTGGACAGGATTGCCTGTGGACTCGGAGGAAAGATCGTCCTTCCCATGATCAAACAGCACATCATGCAGATGTTGCAGAACCGTGAGTAGATGCCTTTGATTGAACAAATGTTAATATTTCTATAAATGCACTCATGTAAACGGTCTGGTTCTCTCGCAGCGGATTGGAAGTACAGGCACGCTGGTCTGATGGCGCTGTCTGCTATCGGCGAGGGATGTCACCAACAGATGGAGGCCATTCTGAGTGAGATCGTCAGCTTCGTTTTGCTCTTCTGTCAGGATCCTGTAAGAATTCTTTTATGGCCCATAAATCACCACTTCATTTGCCTATGAACAAGCAAGTAAAGACGCTAAACGTAGCCTCATTCCAAACCCCTCAGCACCCCAGGGTCCGCTACGCTGCCTGCAACGCTATTGGACAGATGGCCACAGACTTCGCCCCCACCTTCCAGAAGAAATTCCACGACAAGGTATTGTTTTTTTGTTTTTTCATGTGTTCTTGGATTTTAAATGTTTTGTTCTTCACAGTGAACACAACGGATTTCTTTAACAACGTTCATGTTCTTTTCCTTATAATGCATTGGGAAAGGAAAAAGAAGTAAAGGTAGATCTGTGCACTGTTCCAACTCTTCCAAAGCAGTTTGATCGCTTTAAGGGGTCGTTCACACAATTTAAATCGTCTAATTACTCTCCCTCATGTTGTTCCAAACCTGTAAGACTTTCGTCCATCTTCAGAACCCGAAGATTTTTTTTAAAGTAAAACTAATCCACATGAATTGGTTTAGTTTACATTTAGTTTAGACTTGATCACTAGAGTTCAGAAAATCTAAACGGCTTGATTGAGTAGGGTTGTCACTTTACGTTCGAAAATCGATTGGACGAACCAACACAAGTATCGAAAGCGAAAATAGGGAATCGATTTTAACGGCCTTCTCTCGGAGCGTGTCTAGCTCGTCACGACGCGAACGCACGTCACACAGCAACTGCAGGCTCTGACAAACACACAACAGCAAACTATGCTTCTGCATTATGTGTCTTTTTACAACAAAATGTGAATTCTGCCGGTATTCAGACAGTCTCATGCATATAGATTAGGCTTGCTACGGTAGTCGGTGTTACCGGTGTTACACAGTGTTCAGTCGCAACACCGGTTTCATCACTTGCCCACCGCGGCACCGCAAATTTTTTTTATTTAACGCAATTACAGAGTATCCAGGTCTTTCCTGTTACCTGTTGACTAGCGTTGTATGATCACGCTCTTATTAATGTGAATGCTTTTAAGACTAAATAGACCACGCTGTAAGTCCTGCCTATTACACACACACACACACACACACACACACACACACACACACACACACACACACATAGAAAAGATGCGTCAGTAGTATCGAGTTCTCTTTTGGGCTTGAACAAACCGTAACACACAAATTACGCCAAAATGTCGGATTTGTCGAGTGTCCTCATAAGATCAGTCTTAAATGATTTAAATTAAGTCTTAAATGAACGTAGAGATTTGTGAGAAAATGGGACGAGTGTCAGATTGCGTCTCTGTCAGCAGCGGCTGGTCTTAAAGTGTCATTATGTTAATCAAAGAACAATAACAGTAAATTACTCACTCAGACCCGGCGCCAGGAGGATTGTTATACCGGTAGCCTAATAATCATGAATGCACTCCGCTATCTTTAACACATCTCCGGCGAACGGCTTCTTCACGCAAAAGAAAAACTCTTCATGAAGCGCAGTGGAATTCAGCGACCATGGCGTTTCCTGATGGATCGAGGTTGTTCGTTAACTTCATTTTTTACGTGCAATTCACACGAGCTCAAAGCTCATGCGAGACTGCTGCGAGTAGTCAAACTTTTATTAATGAAACAGAAAATCAGGGAATCATTTCTTTTTTTTCTTTTTTTTTTTTTACTGGTTGGCCGGTCACGCGGCTTTCATAGTTTTCAGTTACGTGACTGGTGCTGTTCTGCCCGTGCAAACACGCGCATTTTATGTTTGCCTTTAAATTAGCTATTTAAATGGCCCTGCCGGTATTACTGGTGTTGTCACACGTCGATTAACCGGTGGGAAAATATCCTCACGTCACATCCCTAATATAGATACAGATTCAAACTACAATTACATATGTTTGACATTTCTAATCGTGAACACAGCCATGTTGAACCCTGCAGTAATGCTTTTCATTGATGTTATGGCAGTCCACTCTGCTTATTGTTTTTCGAGAATGTTGCGCTCCTGTTTGTCATTGTGCCCGCAACTTCACGCCAATAAATGATCAGAAATATTGCTGACTTGTGCACGTCTCAAGCGCACTCTTAACGTTCGTCATAATGCCTGTTAGTTGTCTGTGGATTTGTCTGTATTTGGTGTTGAAAATGGGAACGTCTTTAGACATGGAAAATCGATTCAATGAACACTTATGTCTCAATCAGGATTTTTTCACAAAAGTGACAGGCCTAATATTGAGTGTTTAGACTTTGAGGATTAAGAAAAGAGTGGATTTTTTTCGTTGTATGGTGGTTGTCCACACACTGCAAAGACACATTAATATGCAAACACCATATTAAAGTCAATTTTGCATCCAATGACCCCTTTTAAAGGATTTGGGTTTCTCATTGCGTACTCCAGTCACGTTTCTCATTTCTCCCCGGGTCAGGTGATCTCAGCGCTCCTGCAGACCATGGAGGATCAGTCGAACCCTCGGGTCCAGGCCCACGCAGCGGCCGCCCTCATCAACTTCACAGAGGACTGTCCCAAAACCCTCCTCATCCCCTATCTGGACAGCCTCGTCCAACACCTCCACGTCATCATGGTCGGCAAACTCCAGGAGGTGCTCTTATCCCTTTCAGTTCGTTTATTGGATTGGTTAAAGGGAGTTTGAATCCCAAGCTGCTCGTTTAATGAGTTTAACTCTCCTATTGCCTTGTGGAAACTGCAGCGTCACAGTCACATCTGTTTTCCCTTCTGTTAGGTGCACAAAGCTAACATGGTGAGATTTAGTTTGATCTGGGTTGGGCTCAGTTAAACTTCAATTCAAAAATGAATGTGGTTTCATTTCAGTTTAAGTGTCTTGAATTGAAATTCAGCTGAACCTAATTTCAGATGTTGTGTGATCACAAATGGTTTGACAGTGTGAGGACTTCTCCTGCATGCAGTTTGATGCGGTTTCACACTTGAATCAGGTTTATGTTGGTGACTTCATACCGTGATGTTGGTTTTTCTTCCAGCTGATCCAGAAAGGCACTAAACTGGTTCTGGAGCAGGTTGTGACGTCCATCGCGTCAGTGGCTGATACCGCAGAGGAGAAGTTTGTGCCCTACTACGACCTGTTCATGCCCTCCCTCAAACACATCGTGGAGAACGCCGTCCAGAAGGAGCTCCGGCTGCTCCGGGGAAAGACCATCGAGTGCATCAGCCTGATCGGCCTGGCTGTGGGCAAAGACAAGGTGTGTGTGGCTTTAGGGGCACGGATCAGGAAAAACTTTCTAAAGGTCCAGTTTATTAGGGCCCGAGCCCCGATGGTGAGAGAACCCTATTGTTTTTGCTTCGTTTATTATTCTCCAAAGTGAATCGCTTTTTTGAGGGCCTAAACATGCTCAAACTCACGAAACTTTGCACATGCTTAAGAAGTGTTGAAAATTTACATCTGATTCGGGTTTCAGAATTGGGTGGGGCAAAATGGGTTAATAGCCCCCCCTACATTATTGCCCCGGCTCTACATTTCACGTACAGGTATTAAACTCGGGACATGCATGTAATGACCCAATACCTACAAAAAAGTATCTTGGAGCGTAGCCCTAAACGCAACAGGAAATGACTTATTTTGAACTTCCCCTCAGATTTTGTGCAGTTTTTGCCAGGTCCAGACGTTGTACTTTAACATAGCCTACATGCTCGGGCAGATTCGGCTTGAAGTCGTTCATCCTCGGATAAGGCGTCGCGCGCGCTGTTACAAAAAAAGCTGTGCACACAGCCAAGCAAAATGGGGTCTTGCGCACCCAACACGTCATTTTTTTTGCCGTGCGCACTAGAGTCCTGCGCGGGACTGTTTTCTTCATCCCGCTCCCGCCCGCGCCCGCCGAATTTCTGACCATTACCGCCCGCTCCCGCAACGTATGTGTTACACTCCCGCCCGCTCCCGCAATATGTATGTCCACTCCCGCCCGCACCCGCAAAACTCGGAGAATTTATTCCCGCACAATAATAGAGATGCATTGACTTTGTGTCTTCTCCCGTCCCGCAGGAAAAAAACGCGTATTTGTATTGCTATTATTAAAGAGATTCATGGGGTTGTTGGTTTCGTTTCCCTGGCCTGCATGTATTTCTGACGCACTGTCAGACTTGACTTGCTCAGGTTTTGTGCTGTAAATACCTCGTTTAAGGTTCTTTTCCACATCATTGACATCTCCATCATGTCGTTAGGCTACCTCCCGATCCCGCAGGGTTTTTTTTTGTCCGCCCATTCCCGCCCGCAGCAAAGTTCAAACCGCCCGCTCCCGCGAGATTTGCGTTGGGTCCCGCGGGACCCGGCGGGACTCAATCCCAATGCAGCCCTCTAGTGCGCACCTTCGCGCTCGTGCGGACGCGTCGAGAATAAACAAGGCTTTACTCCGTGTCAGCGCGCTCTGATTGGTAAAGGTGCACAGACCTCTCCCGAATCATCTCCAGCAGTAGCAGCCTCCGATCGCACCACTAACTCCGCCTCCGTTTCCCTCGTAAGATGATATTAGTATTTAAACATTCTCTATGATAAAAAATATTTTAATAGCACGGTTTTGGCGGTTCTAGAGTTCTAATGACTGTGTTCAACTATAACCGTCGGTACGTCACACCCCTCATAACAGTTGTCTGATTCGACTATGAACCTCATAGTCGAATAGTAGGCCTCTCCGAATCGAATCCTCGACTATTAGAAGTCAGCCCTAGAATTTTTTATTTACTTTTTAACTTTTGGTTGATTAATCTATCTTAATCTTCTTTTGCAAAAATAAACTAAAATGGTTTAATTTGACTTGTAACTTTGGGATTAAATGAGATGTATTCATTTGTCAGTCGCTTATGCCTGCCACTACTTTTGAATGGAAGACATCTGCCGGTGCTGTTGCTTCTGAACAGTGTGTTTGATTTGTCCATGCAACCCTTTTGTTTTTTGTTTGCTCCTGTAGTTCATGCCGGATGCTTCAGCTGTGATGCAGCTCCTCCTGAAGACACAGACTGACTTCAACGACCTAGAGGATGATGACCCACAGGTCAGCAAAAACCAACCAAGCCAATCATGGACCCTGATTCCAAAACTAGAGTTATTCTTGTGTTATTGAGCTCCTCTTGTGTTTCCAGATCTCCTACATGATCTCGGCATGGGCGCGCATGTGTAAGATCCTGGGGAAGGAGTTTCAGCAGTACCTGCCTGTGGTGATGGGTCCGCTGATGAAGACGGCCTCCATCAAACCTGAAGTGGCTCTGCTTGATAGTAAGAGTTCTGTTCCTAGTGCATATTCAGACTTGTAATAGTGTTAGCTTAGTAATTTAACATGGATTGAACTGGGTGTTAGTGACTCCCTTTTCCTCTGGCTCTCTCAGCTCAGGACATGGAGAACATGTCTGAAGATGATGGATGGGAGTTTGTGAATCTTGGAGACCAGCAGAGTTTTGGCATCAAGACCGCAGGACTGGAGGAGAAGGCCACGGCGTGCCAGATGCTGGTGAGATGGGAAACCACCCAGACATGCAGTTTAACCAACAAAAACAAACTCTTATAGTTGAACTTTTAGATGCTTTGGCGTTTGAGAAACAAAAAACGTGGTGGTTAATATTTTTGGCAAGTCACTTTTATTTATTTTTTTAGCCGTTTATGCAATACAGATTTATAAGAGGTTTATAAAAGGCTCTTACAGAGGAGTCGATTCCCCTTGATTTGAATCTTTAGAATCGACTCTTGATTCCCAAAGCCTCAGAATCAAGGAATTGATTCATTTTGGAATCGGTTCCCAGCCCTACAATTTTGCGCATCGCAACTAACCAGATTACTGGCCTGTTATAGTGAAAATGTTCCTTTTGATTTACTTGAAAATTGAATTTCTTGTGTCTGTTCTTCCTCAGGTGTGTTATGCTAAAGAGCTGAAGGAAGGTTTCGTCGAATATACGGAGCAAGTCGTCAAGCTGATGGTCCCTCTGCTCAAGTTCTATTTTCATGATGATATCCTTCACGAGACTAAAATGACTTGTCTTCAGTACATTTAGCAGTTTATTGGTCAGCCAATGCTGATATCTAGATTTTTACAATGCTTTTAGATGGTATAAAATGCAGTTTAGCATTCACAAATAGGAAATGCACAATTTTACACCTGATTTACACTGATTCACTTCCAAAAATCGAATTAATTGAAGTGTCACAACTAATAATTGCAAATATCGACTGATTAATTGGTTTTAATTTCAGTAAATGTACCAGTTTTTCTGGTTTCAACTTTTCTCTGCAGTGATAAGTTGCCAGCGCATATTGTCATTCACTACTTTCATGGTTCCCTGAATTAATCATGTTTTTGTCAAACACTTAATCTATGTTTTGATCATCATTCTGAATCAAATCGGGATGGAGTCCATCAACACCCCCAAAGCTTCAGTCGTTTCCTCTTCACATGTTGGACATTTCATTCTGTAACATCAAGTGATTTTAATTTATGCCTTTTAATGTTTTGTCACGCTAGTCTTATTGTGTGCAAGCGATGCTCCTGGTTTAGGCAGATCTGGAGTTGCTTGTACTATTTCAGAAGTATGTTGAGACTCGGTTAGCATCTTTAACTCAGTCCTGACGTGTGCGAGTGGCGGCCGCCGAGTCCATGCCTCTTCTGCTGGAGTGCGCTCGCGTCCGAGGCCCAGAATACCTCACTCAGATGTGGCACTTCATGTGTGACGCCCTCATCAAAGCCATCGGCACCGAACCCGACTCGGACGTGCTGTCAGAAATCATGCACTCGTTTGCTAAGGTAACTCGCGCTGATCTAGGTCAGGGTTTATTCTGCATGAGTCCTCCAGAAGTGTTCAGTTGGGTTCTGTACTGTAAAAATAGAAAATGCTAATTGTGTGTTATTCTAATTAATGTCATCACTCTTAGTGTGTCGAGCTGATGGGAGACGGGTGCCTGAACAATGAGCACTTTGAGGAGCTGGGAGGCATTTTGAAAGGCAAACTAGAGGAGCATTTTAAAAACCAGGAGGTCAGACAAGGTGAGTCGCACAGGAATTACTCGCATACTCACCAAGGCTGTTTATTTGATCAAATACAGTAAAGATTCAAAATTACAAAATAAATTACTGTTTTCTAAGTGAATATTTTGTAAAATGTAATTTATTCCATTTAAAATTTGCAGGTTTTTCTCTCTTTTTTTTTTGCCAGGCTATTTAAACACAACTGAACTCCTATAGCAATTTTGCTTATTTGATTCATATTAAACTTGTTTTTGTTCATATTTTCCTAAAAGAAAAGGTTTCAAACATTTTTAATCAGCCTATTGCAATCTTAAATGCTCAAATTTGTGAGCTTTAATTAGTCGCTGCACACATCCCTAGTGCTTTCACACTTTCATTAACGTTTAAACGGAAATTTTGCGACCGGCTAGTCTTCAGTTGCCCATCAGCAGCAGTATCGTTTACTCAACTAGTCTCGCACGTCATATTTCTAAAAACAACCCGAAACTCATTTACACTGCTTGTATCTGTTCTCTGCAGCCAAACGACAGGATGAAGACTATGATGAGCAGGTTGAGGAGACGTTACAAGATGAGGTGAGCTGCTCTTCTAACAGTGTTTGTTTGCCCTCGTTTTAAAGCTCCTCATGATCTTCATGTTTTAAAGCTCCTCATGATCTTCATGTTTTAAAGCTCCTCATGATCTTCATGTTTTAAAGCTCCTCATGATCTTCATGTTTTAAAGCTCCTCATGATCTTCATGTTTTAAAGCTCCTCATGATCTTCATGTTTTAAAGCTCCTCATGATCTTCATGTTTTAAAGCTCCTCATGATCTTCATGTTTTAAAGCTCCTCATGATCTTCATGTTTTAAAGCTCCTCATGATCTTCATGTTTTAAAGCTCCTCATGATCTTCATGTTTTAAAGCTCCTCATGATCTCCATGTTTTAAAGCTCCTCTCGATCTCCATGTTTTAAAGCTCCTCTCGATCTCCATGTTTTAAAGCTCCTCTCGATCTCCATGTTTTAAAGCTCCTCTCGATCTCCATGTTTTAAAGCCCCTCATGATCTCCATGTTTTAAAGCTCCTCTCGATCTCCATGTTTTAAAGCTCCTCTCGATCTCCATGTTTTAAAGCTCCTCATGATCTTCATGTTTTAAAGCTCCTCATGATCTTCATGTTTTAAAGCTCCTCATGATCTTCATGTTTTAAAGCTCCTCATGATCTTCATGTTTTAAAGCTCCTCATGATCTCCATGTTTTAAAGCTCCTCATGATCTCCATGTTTTAAAGCTCCTCTCGATCTCCATGTTTTAAAGCTCCTCTCGATCTCCATGTTTTAAAGCTCCTCTCGATCTCCATGTTTTAAAGCTCCTCTCGATCTCCATGTTTTAAAGCTCCTCTCGATCTCCATGTTTTAAAGCTCCTCATGATCTCCATGTTTTAAAGCCCCTCATGATCTCCATGTTTTAAAGCTCCTCATGATCTCCATGTTTTAAAGCTCCTCTCGATCTCCATGTTTTAAAGCTCCTCATGATCTTCATGTTTTAAAGCTCCTCATGATCTTCATGTTTTAAAGCTCCTCATGATCTTCATGTTTTAAAGCTCCTCTCGATCTCCATGTTTTAAAGCTCCTCATGATCTTCATGTTTTAAAGCTCCTCTCGATCTCCATGTTTTAAAGCTCCTCATGATCTTCATGTTTTAAAGCTCCTCTCGATCTTCATGTTTTAAAGCTCCTCATGATCTCCATGTTTTAAAGCTCCTCTCGATCTCCATGTTTTAAAGCTCCTCATGATCTCCATGTTTTAAAGCTCCTCATGATCTCCATGTTTTAAAGCTCCTCATGATCTCCATGTTTTAAAGCTCCTCTCGATCTTCATGTTTTAAAGCTCCTCATGATCTCCATGTTTTAAAGCTCCTCTCGATCTCCATGTTTTAAAGCTCCTCTCGATCTCCATGTTTTAAAGCTCCTCTCGATCTCCATGTTTTAAAGCTCCTCTCGATCTCCATGTTTTAAAGCTCCTCATGATCTTCATGTTTTAAAGCTCCTCATGATCTCCATGTTTTAAAGCTCCTCTCGATCTCCATGTTTTAAAGCTCCTCTCGATCTCCATGTTTTAAAGCTCCTCTCGATCTCCATGTTTTAAAGCTCCTCATGATCTTCATGTTTTAAAGCTCCTCATGATCTTCATGTTTTAAAGCTCCTCTCGATCTTCATGTTTTAAAGCTCCTCTCGATCTCCATGTTTTAAAGCTCCTCATGATCTTCATGTTTTAAAGCTCCTCATGATCTTCATGTTTTAAAGCTCCTCATGATCTTCATGTTTTAAAGCTCCTCTCGATCTCCATGTTTTAAAGCTCCTCTCGATCTCCATGTTTTAAAGCTCCTCTCGATCTCCATGTTTTAAAGCTCCTCTCGATCTCCATGTTTTAAAGCTCCTCTCGATCTCCATGTTTTAAAGCTCCTCTCGATCTCCATGTTTTAAAGCTCCTCTCGATCTCCATGTTTTAAAGCTCCTCTCGATCTCCATGTTTTAAAGCTCCTCTCGATCTCCATCTTTTAAAGCTCCTCTCGATCTCCATCTTTTAAAGCTCCTCATGATCTCCATCTTTTAAAGCTCCTCATGATCTCCATCTTTTAAAGCTCCTCATGATCTCCATCTTTTAAAGCTCCTCATGATCTCCATCTTTTAAAGCTCCTCATGATCTCCATCTTTTAAAGCTCCTCATGATCTCCATCTTTTAAAGCTCCTCTCGATCTCCATGTTTCTCCCGTGTGTTTCAGGATGAGAATGACGTTTACATCCTGACCAAGGTGTCGGACATCCTGCACTCGATCTTCAGCAGTTACAGAGAGAAGGTTCTGCCGTGGTTCGAGCAGCTGCTGCAGCTCATCGTCAATCTGATCGTAAGTGAACTCGTTCAGTCTTCATGAGTGTTTCCCGTACAACGGTGTTACTCTCTGAAGAAATTTCATTGTAAAAAATCAACTTTGCTAGTCACGACTGCTTCCCGAAACCGTATTGTCGCTAATAGGACTTTCAACCACGTTGGTTAATGTCACGCACGTGGTGGAGTGATGACTACTTTTAGTGAATTTGTTTGAGATCTAATTAATGCTAGAGTTTTTGCTATAAATTACTAGAGGTGTAACGGTACATGTATTCGTATTGAACCGTTTCGGGACGAGGCTTCCGGTTCGGTGCGCAAACAAACCGAACGATTCCTTGGACCATTTTTCCTGCCGACAAAATCCGCGCTGGCGCGATCACCACAACGTTGCGCAACATCAAATCGCAAACGTAATGAAAGCGGAACGAAACTGCGCTACTCATTATATTTTGCTTCACGGACCGTTTATCAGTTCGGACCAGCAACATCTGTGCAGCGCGAGCCGATCTTGATCAAGCGACAGTTACTACACAGCGCTAAGAGATCCAGTGAAGAAAACATTTGAGTTCTCCACTGAAGTAATAACATCGCTGCGAGATCTAGTGAGAAACATTCACATTTCTCTGTTATTAACCGTAGATCTCTATTAGATCAAACAGCGCTGACGTGGACACCAGGAGAAACATTGTGCCGTGAATGGTCTAGTTATAGGCTTTAAGTCCACAGATCAGCAACATTCACCATGGGTTTAATATAGTAACACTGACTGTAACCATGGAAGTTTGGCTGGAATGGTGAAATGCTTTCAAGTACTTCACACATCTTTGTCCAGCACTTCAAAACTCAAATATTATATATATATATATATATATATATATATATATATATGCCTATATTTAAATGTTATTTTTAATGTGATCAAAACATTATTTGTCCCATTTATAAACCTGAACGTTTCAAGATGTAGGAAAACTCAAACTTATTTAAAAATATTTTTTCTTTTAATAAATTGGAAATTTCTTTTTGCTGTATCGAAAATGTACCGAACCGTGACACCACTGTATCGTATCAAACCGAACCGTTACACCCCTATAAATTTACAGGCATGGCATCTGAGAAATATTTCTGTTATTTTGCTCTGTCTTGCGTACTAGATCACGTTCACACATCGTCTTCAAAAACTGTGCTTTAAATCTCTTGACAAACTCAAAGACGTAAATGACATTTGTATGTATTCTAAATAAAATATACAGGTTGTACTGAATGTCAGCTTGCTTATTCTGCTCAAGATAAGGATCTGAGTCCACATGTCATGCAAACTAGAAACTCTGGAACGACAGATCTCGACCTGTGGTTAGAAGCAAACACAACTTTGCGATGCTGTTTGCGAATATTTGTTGGAAGGATGCTTTCGGGAAACACCGACTCGTTGAACTTGCGACCCATAGTTTGCTAACCTGCTCGTCATAGTCTTCATCCTGTCGTTTGGCTGCAGAGAACAGATACAAGTGTAAATGAGTTTCGGGTTGTTTTTAGAAATATGACGTGCTTAAGGATGTGCGAGACTAGTTGAGTAAACGATACTGCTGCTGATGGGCAACTGAAGACTAGCCGGTCGAAAAATTTCCGTTTAAACGTTAATGAAAGTGTGAAAGCACTAGGGATGTGTGCAGCGACTAAATTAAAACTCAATTTGAGCATTTAAGATTGCAATAGGCTGATTTAAAAAAATAGTTTGAAACCTTTTCTTTTAGGAAAATGAACAAAAACAAGTTTAATATGAATCAAATGAGTAGAATTGCTATAGGAGTTCAGTTGTCTTTAAATAGCCTGGGGAAAAAAACCTTTTTTCCTTTAAATCCTCGCTTGTCTGGCTTATGCTACTCTGAGCAATGCCTGAACTTTGTATATTGAGCACTTCTTGCGCGGTCTTTGCCTCTTCTCGACGACTCGCTTGGTTTAGTCCTCAGTTGTAAGTCGCTTTGGATAACAGCCTCTGCTAAATTGCTAAATGTAACGATGCTTTTGGGAAACGCACCCCTGAGCGGCAGTTAAACTCAGCTTATTAACGTTCTCCTCATGTTGTGTTCCTGACAGTGTCCACACAGGCCCTGGGCCGACAGACAGTGGGGTCTGTGCATATTCGATGACATAGTGGAGCACTGCAGTCCATCTTCCTTTAAATACGCCGAGTGCTTCCTGCGGCCCATGATGCAGTCGCTGTGTGACACGAGCCCGGAGGTCCGGCAGGCGGCCGCTTACGGTGTCGGGGTCATGGCTCAGTTTGGAGGAGAGAACTACAGGCCTGCGTTCACAGGTGGGCTGCACTTCAAGCTCAAAACAACAAAAATGACACATTTAGGGCCCTATAAAGTCAGTTTCCCAAGTTAAAATTTAGTTTGTCAAGAAGCATATCTATTTATTTAATTGAAATGAGGCTTGTACAATACTTCATAAAGCCCTAAAAGTGTAATTTGTTCAAATTAAATTGTTAGTTTTTTCCACTCTGAATTATTTTTCTGGACTCCATTTTAATGGCTAAAATTAAATTGTAGTAGTCAATAAGCATATCTAATTAATTGAAATAACACTTTTTTTTTTTTTAAAGCAAATTGTATGTTTCGTTATGACAAGTTTAACAAATAATATTAAGGCCCTATGAAGTTATTTTTCTCAAATTCTGTGTTTGCTGTTTTAATTTCTTAATTTAATCAAATTAGTCTAATCAATTTAATTTCATTAATTTTTCCGCAATAGGGCCGTATTATATTCAGCAATTCTGTTGTCTTGTTCTGGATTTATGATTTTATTGCAATTTTATCAAACGGTAGTAATCAAAGGCATAAAACATGAATGATTTAATCTGTGAGAATGTAATTGAATGAAGAAATAAAAGGACTCTTGAAAGTTACGTTTGAGCAAATAAAGTGATGCAGATTAAAATTAAAACATGGAAGAAAGTTCTGAAATTCTTTAAGTTAATTTATTATTATTATTATGATTTAAGTATATTCTACTGTACAATAGTAATATATCTGTCAGTTTTGGTGGGTTTGCAGTGAAGATCTTTAGGTTTCTGTGTGCATCTGATAGTTCGCAGATAAAGTTCATGTTCTCGTCTAGTGAGACGGCAGACGCTGGAAACACCACGCGCTTCAGTGTGTGTGTAGAACAGGGTGGCCGTGGGTCCCAAGTCTTAATGTCTTTAATTCAGATTCGATGGGTCTTAAATATTTCTGGTCACATTACCGCTAAAATGTCTCCAGTCTGACGGACCCCAGTGAAGCATCGAATCGCGAGAATGATTCTGATTTTATTACATAAACAGCGATTGATCATGTATTTCTGGTAGCGCTGTTGAGACTCGCCTTCCTCTGTGAGAGATTTTATAGTGAGAAATCAAAACAAAATGAGCATAACAGCACATAACTCACAGAAGAAACATACTGAGGTAAAAATTCTAAATGTTGAGTTTTTAAAAAAATTTTATAACATGATATAGTTAAGTAACATTACATGCCGGGAGCTATTTTGCTGAATATTCTCACGATTGCAAATGTAACATTTGATTTTAGTTTAATAAACAAGTAAATATTAAATTACTTTATTACTTAGTTTAAACATTAAATATTACATATGCTGTGCATTTCCATCACAGGTTTGGTCTTAATTTTCATTCAAAGTGGCATTAAAGTCTTAAATTTAACTTGTTTATATCTGTAGACACCCTGGTAGAAGTCATTCTCACACAGAACACAGACTCCAGATTTAAATGGCAGTCTTTTGCGCTTAAATTAACAGATTTTCCCTTTTTTTGCAGTAAGTTTCATTTGTTACATGATTCCGTCCGTGTTTTCTGCGTCGTGGACATCATGGGGCCTTATGTGAGTGTTAATGAAGCATGTTGTCGCTGTTTCAGAGGCCGTCCCGCTGCTTGTGGGTGTGATCCAGTCTGCAGACTCCAGAGTTAAAGAAAACGTCAACGCCACCGAGAACTGCATCTCTGCTGTGGCCAAAGTCATGAAGTACCGCCCAGAGTGCGTCAACGTCACTGAAGTCCTCCCTCATTGGCTGTCCTGGCTGCCACTCAACGAGGATAAAGAGGAGGCGGTCCACACGTTTAACTATCTCTGTGACCTCATTGAAAGGTGAGTGTCTGTTGCCTGACGTGTACTCTGGGAGATTTGGATGCCGGTTTGCGTTTAATGTTGTTTTCCTCCCGCAGTAACAATCCCATTGTTCTTGGACCTGATAATACAAACCTTCCCAAGATTTTCACCATAATCGCTGACGGCGTTGCCAATGAATCGATTAAAGGTGATGGCGACTGCAGCAAACGGTTGGCCAATGTTATTCGTCAAGTACAAGTGAGTTTCATGTTGTTTAATATGAACAAACTGCTTTATTACAGGCACAACCTCAGATTGATGCAGAATAGCAAAATTAAAAAAAATAATGCATTCAGCGCAGGATAAGCGCAGCATATTGGTGCTTACAGATGATTTCAAACAGGATTTTTACTGTTTTCATGCATTAAATATTTAAAATAATTCAAGCAATGACTGTTCAAACCGATGGTTTCTCTAATCGGAAAGCCACTCTTTTTAAAAGTTCAATTTATCTTGATAAAAGTGACTAAAATGCATACATTTTTTAAATCAGCCCTTTGATGCAATGTCAGTTTATATTGAAATTTATATATGGAAATATTATTGTAATGTTGTATACAATTTATGCTTTAATATCTTATTTTAGTCACCCTTGTCATGATGTAGATAAATTTAAATGTGCTGTATTGATGCATTTAAATCACATTATCTTTGTTCTTTCAAATCTATCAGTCAGTATTATAATACAAGTTAACATTCAAATTTAGACGTAAATATATTGAACCATCATTACAGACTGAAAATGCATAAAGTCACCCTTTTCAGACCATTTCTGAGCAAACACGCATGCATATCCTAGTCAAACTTTAGTTTTTTTGGCTCTAGGTTGTCCCAAGCAGAATTTGCATGACATTTCAGAGTCAAATACGTGACTGTGCTTGATGTTTTCAGGTTTCTGGAGGCCTCTGGACGCAGTGTGTATCAGCCCTCAATGAGACTCAGCAGAAGGCCATCCAGGACCTCCTGAACTCGGCCTGAGTGAACGAGCGAAGCCTTAACCCTGTAAAACAGCCCATCTACTGAGGATTAAAAAAAACTTTGCACCTGGAATTCCACATCTAGATTTTTGGCCCTTTCCCTTTTTCGAACAATGAATGGTCATGTGACTTGAGTCTGAGCCGTCTGGACCTAATATCTCAAAGTCTTCAACAACAACCGGGCCGAGGCTCCAGCGTGTGTGTCTCACACCTCAAAACGGGCCAACGGCTTCACAAACCCTCATCTTGAGCGGATGTGGGGGGGATTAGGGGTATGAAATGAAACTAACCGTCATCCATCGTAGGTCTTTAAGAATTTCTGGTGTAGAAATTGTGCTTTTCTCCCTTACGAGATCAGTTATAGTTGTTTTGTCACAACTCGTGTGTCTGTCGATCCTAGCCGAAGCTGTTTTCTCCGACTCTGAGACGGATCCGTCTGAAATGGACTCGTGTTGGTTGAGCTCGAATGCAATAGAGCGATGATTCAGCGGTCATATCGTCGACTTTTTTGTTTTCTTTCAGGTTTTTGTTTAGTTCTCTTCGAAGCCGGTCCCGAGGGCCGGCGGTGATGTTTGGGAGAGGCGGGCATCGGTTTGCTCCTTCTTCGCTGATGATGTCTGTGTCACATGGCTAACAGTGTCTGTCATCGGCTCTCTTAAATCCATGCAATGAAATAAACAACATAGGAAAACCGGGACTCTGGGTTCAGGGCTTCATGAAGGAAATGCACAAGTCTGAAGCCAGTTGGCTTATTGGTGGTCAGTCACATGTCCATGGAACATTTGTATGATATTCAATCTATCCTGGTTCATCATTTTACAACACTTTCAGTATTAAAGCTGCAAGACATGATGAACCCTGCGTCCGTGTTTCATTTGCTCTGTCAATATGCAAAGGAATCCAGTTTGCTTGTTTAAATTCACATTTTAATTGAAGGTAAATGTTTCATTAATCCTACTGAACCAAACATGGACGGTTAGCAGGAGTTTTCTCACTTGAATGCTTGTTTTTAACCAAGATGCAGTTCTTTAAAGCAGGAACTAGAAGCTGTTCACATTGGTCTTTAATGGTTTTACAGCGGTAACTAGAGATATTATAGATTATGGGTGAATAGGAAAAGATAAGTTTGCACCATCAGTCTTATATCAGTGTGTATGTAGTTTTCAAACGTGCATTTAAAACTTGTGCTGCTTTTGTCTTATACTGGGTTTTGACCAAATAAACTCAGTCATTTAGTTGATCAGATAAAAGTTCTATCCAACAGAAATTTGCACAGGATTTTAATTAATGGGATCAAATAAAGATCAATCCTGTTAGATGTTCTTGTCAAAAGTAGTGTTGGAATAATGTCTTTAAGGACTTTCAAGATCTTTTTGTTGTCATACAAGTTTATTGTATTCTGATAGTAGATCACATCTTGTTCTAAACTATTTTGTAATTACAGTATCATTGATTAGGATTTTGACTGATTGAAAGTGTGTCGGTCCTCTGGGAGCCGTGTTGGGAATTTATGCATGTATAGGGAACTAAAATATCTAGTTTATGTTGGGTTCTTTTTGAATAAATCCTAACCCCTTTAATAATTCTTATTACAAAATCTCAGTGTATATTACATAAAATCGGGTTGCACTTTATTTTAATGTGTTTGTTAGTGTAATTATACAAGTACTGAGAAATATTAAGTAATGTACTTATACTATAGGCCAGGGTTAATTTAAGATTAGGTTTGGTTTAGGGTTAGTTGCATGTAAGCATGATTTAGTTATTTTAGTAACTACATGAAACGACACTAAAATAGTGTTCCCTAAAGTAATACATTTTTAGACTAAGTGTTGCTTCCACAGATTGGTGGCGCTGTTACTCATCACAGTACTTTATAAAAGTGTATAAATAGGTTTTTATGTTCCTGAACGATTAATTTGAGTTCTTTTTGATGTCCTACCATTTTTAAAATGTTTTAAAAACGTGTTACGTCACTTCTGAACGTTCTGAAACAAGTAACTTTTTTTTTTTAAATGTCTGACGCTCACGCACGTTCAACTAAATCCTTTAGAAAAAGGTTGTGTTAGCGTTTTGAGAACATTACTAAAGACCGGATAACTTTGAACAAACATAATATTACTGTTTCGGGAAGAACGTTTGTTCTTTACTATAAGAGAACGTTACCAGAACGTTCTAAGAATGATCCCTGTTAGATGGTTTGGTACCATTTTGCTTACATAGCCATTAACCATCCCTTACAAAAAAAACAAAACAAAAAAATACTATGGCAGTTCAATAGTGATGGTATCAGATGATAAGACTACAGTAGTCAACATTTGAAGTGGATCAAAAAAGTGAATCAAAGTTGTCCTAAGACAAAAACGGGTATTGTTCAAAATGCATAACTTTTATGAAAGGTTTTGATCCACTTCAAATATTGACTACTGTATATAAAACCCGCTGCAACAGTGTAAAAGGAGCCCAATTTCGCGGGAAACCCGCGGACTTGGCAACACTGTAACCAGGGTAAGTTTGAGTCGTCCGCCAGGTGTCGCTGTTCCCCTCAGCGCGGTGTGAGGCTGTAGTGCGGGTGTTGGAGGTTGGAGGCGGTGTTTTATTGTATCAGTTCAGTTCGGGATCAGTCGTTCAGTCATGGCGTCCGGGAAGACGGTGGATTTCAGCGCTTCCCACGAATAGCCGCCGATACACCGATTCTTCGCGACTCCAGCCGCTGCTCTGCGTGTTATTTTCGCGGAACATCGTTGAACAACGTAGTTACGCATATATCCAGTCACGAGGAGTATTAATTCAGCAGTAAAGGTAAGATTCTGTGAAATTTTATTGACTCGCTATAAACCGGCAGCGAGCGAATATGAGTTACTATTAATCTTACGATCGCTGGACACCCTGATATATTGAAGCGGTTTCCATGGTTACAAGAATAAATCTCACGAGCCTCCGCTGCTGCCACGCGTCATATCGTACGTTTCTACATCAAAGATTTACTGTAGTGCTCTACTGTACTTTTACGTTTAACAAAAATACTATGGTAATACCATGTTTTGTTGGATCTTTTTAAAAAGTGCTGTGCCGGTACCATGGTATAGTGATTATATCACCACTCTAGATTATTTAAATGGCATTTCAAAGCACTTACAAGAATGCATTGGTCCATGTCCAAAACACAGTAGTGCCCTTTTGTAATTGTGGCATGGTTTTTGAACTTGTATTATCTCAAATACCTTGGTATTATTTGATAGCATCACTATGGTATTACCACAATACCGTTTTGTTAGGGTTACATATTTTCCCCTCAGCCTGTTTTTTTTTTAAACTAATGCAACACAGCATGGGGTTATTAATGTATGGAATGATCATACATATCCCAGAACCAGGTGAAACATCAGTACTTACAGTTTAAAAATAATAATGATTTGCTTTATTTTTATACTATATTCCTAAGAGCTCCAGTGATGTGTTTTAAGTGGGTGTGCAGGTAGTCAGTTGGACATTATGGGATTTCCCTGTCACATGAATTCTTGATGTGGCTAACACACACACACACACACACACACACACACACACACAGTCAATGCAGCTTAACCTACTAACATCTGAACCTCAAGGATTACTCGACTAACCTACATCGGCCGAATGCAAGCACACAACTCAGCACAGATTTTGAAATCCTTTTAGCAAATTGACCATGTTAATTATTATTTATTATTTAATGTTTGAGTGGTGACTTGTACCAAATAAATGTAAATATGGTGGTAGATATGTTGGCGGAAACTAGTTATCTTCAGTGATCTTGATAAGTAAACACATTGACTAGCACATTGTGGTAGTTTAGATGTTCTGAGTGGTTTTTACCAACACTTAGTAGAGTAATAACACACCTCTTCTCATTTGAGGAATCATTCAACAACACACACACACACACACACACACACACACACACACACACACACACACACACACACACACACACACACACACACACACAATGTACTGTGCATTACTTAATACTTAGGGTGCGTCTCAATCAGCTCCCTGAGTCAGTATGTCGTGGTCACTGTTAAGGACCCTCGCTCACTACACATTGGGACACTGATGGTGACATGACAACATCTTCATTGTACAACGAGAGCTCAAACCGGCACTTGTGGGCTGTTTTCTGTGCTGGGAACATCCAGAGCGCCGCCTCTCATTTAGTGCTCGAATACTGAACTGAGTTCTCTTTCACGTCGTCTTGGGCTTGAACGGACAAATGCACTGAAAATGATGTCAAAATATCCTTGCAAACAGAGTGGGTTATGTCTAAAGTGAACGTAAACAGTTTAGAAAGAGAACTCGTGTGTAACAGTATATTGGATCAGTGCATTCGCTTTTAAAGGGACAGCAGCCTAATATTCCGGCTGTGTGTCATTAAGAATAAGAGAGAAAAAAAACACTCACTGATCTTGACTGAATAACTTTTGCAACTTTAATAAGGATTAATCTATTTTATTTGTAACTATGCAGTATTTTACACTTTTTATTTCAATTTCTGAACTTTGTTTAGTTCTATTTATTTCTGCTATTGCTAATTTGCTCTTATTGTATTACTGACTGTATACTTGTCTTTAATAATGTTTGAAATGTATAGAAAAAAGGATTTAACGTTATGCCGACTGTGCCTGATAAAGGTATTTTAAATTACTGTTTTTTTGCTGCTAATGTGCCTGCCCCTGGTTTACAGGAAGAAAATGTTTACTTGATTTTAATTTATTTTTTCTTATAAAGCAAATGTGCCTGTCCTTTATAAAAATGATAGTTTCTTTATTTATGTATTTATGTCTATACTGACCGAGCACTGTGCCTAATTGGTTTTAGACAGGGCATTTTTATTTACTTTTAGTATGAATCGGCCTATCAGCAGCAAAGTTCAATAAAATATGCATTTTTCATTGAAGTACCCCCTTCTTTCTTGTGTTTACTATCATTTTCCACAGAATTAAAGCAATCTCATGCTAAATTTTAGAAAAATGTAATAATTTTTCGATTAGTCAACTAATCGTTTCAATAGTCGGTGACTAGTCGACTATTAAAATAGTCGTTAGTTGCAGCCCTAGTCTTTAATAATGTTTGAAATGTATAGTCTAGTTTATTACTTAGTTGTTCTCTAGGCTGCTGATCTAAACGGTTGACTTTTTTTGTTTTAACCATATTGGAATCGATAAGAATTAGAAATGATAAGCAGAATTAGAATCGAATTATCTAAAATTCAAACAATACCCAACCCTACTAACCGGCAGTGTCATGGCTACTGAACTAGGGAGCTGATTGAGACGCACCCTTAGTTTTAGCATTTGCACTTAGTTTTGTGTTTGTACTTAGCTGATATGATGAGTGCCATACTTATTGTTTAGTGAAGGAGTGTCCTCAAAATGCGTTTTGTAGAGTCTGGGCCAGCGGTGTGTATCCGTGCCGTCAGATGTGTGTGTGTGTTGAGTCTGTCTCAGTGAACCCTCTGTTTCACGTGTCCGCCTCGCTGAACACATCTCTGGGAACTTTCAGGCAAACAAGTTGAAAGGCAGGTTAACTAGTTCAGCGAGCGTGAGTCTGGGAACGAACCCTTCTTCCTAGTTCACTTTTCTGTCTCTGTTCTCTATGAAGGGTGTGTGTGTGTTTGTATAGGATGGAAAAAGAAAGATTTTTGTATGAACGTGTTTAAATAAAGTAACTGTTTGGGAAGGCATAAAATACCTCTTTTTTTTTAACCAGGCATGTCCTTTGAAGTGGGCCTCTCCTTAATCATTCACTCTGTCAGGTTGAGTTTGTAGTCATGCAATGAAATGTGTTGGTTTGCACTTTGGTTTTAATGAGACCTAATTTGCTCCAGATTCAGAAGTACTTCCTGTTTCCTCGTGTTTATCTCTGCGTGTGTGACGATCCTTCTGTGCTTTGCTTGCTTCCTACTTTGTGCTTCCTTTAGAGTACAAGTTTCCAGTCTGTGGCCTTTTTGCAGAGGTTTCCCTTTCACTCGTTGTGTCACTGTCACAAATCACAGCACTGCATCAGGACAGGGTTTAAAACATGCTTAAAACCCACTCAGAATGCCGTAGCAACACCCTAGCAACTACATAGCAATGGGCTTAAACCACTCAGAATGCCTTAGCAACCACATAACATTCCAGAACACACTGGCAACACCCTAGCAACATCCCAGAACACTCTGGCAACACTCTAGCAACATCACAGAACACCCTAGCAACTTCATAGCAATGAGCTTAAACCTCTTAGAATGCCTTAGCAAACACATAACATCCCAGAACACCCTGGCAACACCCTAGCAACATCACAGAACACCCTAGCAACTTCATAGCAATGAGCTTAAACCTCTTAGAATGCCTTAGCAAACACATAACATCCCAGAACACCCTGGCAACACCCTAGCAACATCACAGAACACCCTAGCGACTTCATAGCAATGAGCTTAAACCTCTTAGAATGCCTTAGCAAACACATAACATCCCAGAACACCCTGTCAACACCCTAGCAACATCACAGAACACCCTAGCGACTTCATAGCAATGAGCTTAAACCTCTTAGAATGCCTTAGCAACCACATAACATCCCAGAACACCCTGGCAACATCACAGAACACCCTAGCAACTACATAGCAATGAGCTTAAACCTCTCAGAATGCATTAGCAAACACATAACATCCCAGAACACCCTGTCAACACCCTAGCAACATCACAGAACACCCTAGCAACTTCATAGCAATGAGCTTAAACCTCTTAGAATGCCTTAGCAAACACATAACATCCCAGAACACCCTGGCAACACCCTAGCAACATCACAGAACACCCTAGCAACTACATAGCAATGAGCTTAAACCTCTTAGAATGCCTTAGCAAACACATAACATCCCAGAACACCCTGGCAAAACCCTAGCAACATCACAGAACACCCTAGCTACTTCATAGCAATGAGCTTAAACCTCTTAGAATGCCTTAGCAAACACATAACATCCCAGAACACCCTAGCAACATCACAGAACACCCTAGCGACTTCATAGCAATGAGCTTAAACCTCTTAGAATGCCCTAACAAACACATAACATCCCAGAACACCCTGGCAACACCCTAGCAACATCACAGAACACCCTAGCGACTTCATAGCAATGAGCTTAAACCTCTTAGAATGCCTTAGCAAACACATAACATCCCAGAACACCCTGGCAACACTCTAGCAACATCACAGAACACTCTAGCAACTACATAGCAATGAGCTTAAACCTCTTAGAATGCCTTAGCAAACACATAACATCCCAGAACACCCTAGCAACATCACAGAACACCCTAGCGACTTCATAGCAATGAGCTTAAACCTCTTAGAATGCCCTAACAAACACATAACATCCCAGAACACCCTGGCAACACCCTAGCAACATCACAGAACACCCTAGCGACTTCATAGCAATGAGCTTAAACCTCTTAGAATGCCTTAGCAAACACATAACATCCCAGAACACCCTGGCAACACTCTAGCAACATCACAGAACACTCTAGCAACTACATAGCAATGAGCTTAAACCTCTTAGAATGCCTTAGCAAACACATAACATCCCAGAACACCCTGGCAACACCCTAGCAACATCACAGAACACCCTAGCTACTACATAGCAATGAGCTTAAACCTCTTAGAATGCCTTAGCAACCATATAATATCCCAGAACACCCTAGCAACACCCTAGCAACATCACAGAACACTCTAGCAACTACATAGCAATGAGCTTAAACCTCTTAGAATGCCTTAGCAACCATATAATA